AAAAAGTGTAATTATGGTTTTGCTTCATTTACTACCTTTTTTTGAACCTTTTTTAACTTTTACAAATTAATTTAATATTTTGCTGCTGTTCTTAATTGAAAAGCGGTTCAAAGAAAAGAACCTTAACTTTAATTTTCGAATAACAAATATTTGCGTGAAACCATACGGGTAACGTTCACTTATTCTATTTTCTAAAGTTATGAAAAAATTTTGTAATAAAAGTTAGAGTTTGTAACTGCAAAATTCACAAATCTATTGGAAAGATAAACGAGACGAATACACTTTACACTTTCAAAAATGTTGCTTAGAATATTGTAAAAGTTAATTATCTTTACTGATTTATTAACAAAATTTATTTTGAAAAAGCAATTAATTAATTGGGTTCAGATTTTCTCAGTCCATAAATATTACCATTCCAAATTACTCCATAATTTTGACTAATGTCAAATATTTCACACAATAACTAAATTAGCTAGCAATATTTTCTTTAAATTCTTTTCAAATTACATTGCTACAATAAAAACGCGATTAAACTTTGAAGATATGTAGCCAAAGTTTTGATTGATTTTGATCTGATCTGAATTGATTTAAATCTATTACTTAAATCATATTTAATTTTTTGGTGGAATAATAATAAAACAGTGAGAAATTTGTCATATTTAAATTTGTTTAGATGAAATGTAAAATGGTTCTTCTTACTTTCATCAAATTGGTGAGGATAGTAAACAGTCCAAGTTTTAGTACTGTTATTTAACAGTTCTTCAGCAGTAACTACAGTAATGGTATAAAGAAGAATGAATAACAGATTTTTGCAGTACATTGGGAAGATAGTACCGAACTGAAATTCAGCAAGTAGTTGATAAATTGGTGCTCTTGAATGCTTATCGTTTCACTGCACACTTCAACAACACCAACACTATGCTAATAGCCAGCAATAAAGCTAAAGTCGAGAGCTGAGAGTCTCGAAGAGTACTCACATTAAAGCTGTCTAATTGTTACACACTTTCTCACTGCACAATCTAAACAGAAATCAAATTTGCAGTCAGAGTTATCGAAGTATTAAATTGCCTAAACAATTGTTAATAAGTATTTAAATTTCACTCGATTATCTCTCCAACCTATTATTAATTTTTGTAACTTTCCATAAATATTACAATCCCAAATCACTCTTCACAGAACTAACTGTTAAACAGACAGTAACTTTTTGAACTGTTTTTTCTGAAAAAAAAATTTGGTTTATTTACAGTTAGTTGGCTTAAAACTACAACTTCTACAAGATTAGACAATACAAAAGTACTTATCAATTATTGATATTGGAAACAGATTTGCGATATACTTGGAAAAGAATTTTTATTATTGTACTGAAATATATTCAAAGAAACTTTCTTATTTACACTAAAAAACCTACTTGAATTGTCTTGACTTTCACTCCTTTGAAAGAATACTATCCAAATTTTTAAAATAAGACTAAACACAAACAATGCTGCATAGACTTTGGTTTCGTTTTCTGAAAAATATCACAAACAATTACGGCAAATGTAAAGTTGTTGTAGATCCAAGTCATCTTTCGATCCGTAATGCGACATCCCTGATGCAAATTTTTTTAATCAAAAAACAGTAACTTTTCTCCAAAAGTCCACTTAATGTAACCACTTTACCTGCTGTCAATTACGTCTTCCATCAGTTTTTTTCCAACTGTTAATCCAAAGCCACTGATTAACTTGACTACTTCAGGTTATGACGAATGGGCACAAGCTATTATTGGGTTTTCTGATCATATTTTTGGTTAGTTTCATATAAATATCACATTACTATAGAAAATAAATCAAAAGGTTTAAATTACCAGCAATACTACTTCTTCATCAAAACTACATGAATAAACTATAGAAATTGTGTGAATAAATGCTTGGCAAATGTATTATTATATTTAAATAAATTTTTTAAAATTATTTCATAGAAAAAGTCATTTCGTTATCTGCTTCCAATATGCCACGTGCAAGAAATCAAAATATTTATTTCAATACGACTATGCAACAAATTATCAAGATCTTTTGCATTTTTTTTTCACAGTTTTCTTTCGCTTCTTCTTTTTTTTGATTATTCTTTGACTTAACCAGACAGGATAAGATCCATCTGGCTTTTTCATTGTTTTCAAATTGAAACCCGTACCATCAACTTCCATCTCAAAAAATAAAAAAATACTGGCCATTGCAACTGAAGAAGTACCTCGAAGCAAAATTATACCTGCTATATTTCAAAAAATATGAAATTGAAAAAGTAAGAAGTGCAGTACTCTAAATACATTTCAGAAAATATAATCGTGTTATGATTATATCGCCTGCATCACTTCAATTTACGAAGAACTACTTTTGTTGGTAGAAATGAATAAACAAACGAAATTTTAGACTTTAACAAAGATAGCACGACATAGAATGAAATTAATTAAAATCTAACCTTACTAGTGTGCTGAGCTTCAGATTCAGGCAGCAAATCTGCAACAATTCAACGATTTGGCACGACATGACACTGATTAAAAAATAGTACATTTTGCTATACAACAGTGGAATAGAAAGAATATGAGCCTAAAATTGTTAGAATTAAGATGAAGACGACAACAGCTTCGTAATGCTGTGAACCACTACTGATGACAAAAGTGTGTCTGGGTCGTGAAAGCAATAAGTCGTTAAAAAAAATAATGCTTTTAAAAGTGTGTCCCTTACGTATAACCTAGTTTTTATGAATTATAAAAAACGACTTTCAAATACACGAAAAAATAAGGATGTTACCATGATCCACTTCCATTCTATTACTAACAGGATTAAGATTTGAAACAGTTTCATGCAATTTTTTCAATACGCGTGGTGCCAATCGCTGACGTTTCATACAACGCATCCGTCGTTTTGATTTTGATCTGATACTTTTCGCCATTTGTCATGCTGAAAAGTTTTCATGCATAGTTGACACAATAAAAATTAAAAGTTTTGAAATCAGTACAATGAAAAAAATTATTATATTTTTAAGTTTTCCAGTTAATCAGAAATGAGGGACTCAATTTTATTTATAATTATTAGTGAGAAAGTCAAGCAGTTATTTGTTTTTTGGCTATAGGCAGATTTTGGTATTTCTTTGATTATTACATGGTAATTTAATAATTTTTTAATAGGTATATTAATCTTAACTGAAATTGAATACTCCTGTAATATTAGATACTCAAATAGTACAACTGAAACTACTGTACCATGTATAGTAGTAATAGAAGTTAATAATAGAAACATTTTTACTTTTTTTACAGTAACAGTATGATAAGCTCACGACAAAGAATTTTGCTTATCACATAAAGACATTTAGCAATTACTCTGACTTTAATCCAAATATATTACACATATTAGTAATTTAGCAATATGAAATGCAAAGATTAGAATAATTATTTCGAACACATCACAGTAACTTGAACGGTATAAGACAGTAACACCACGGCACAGTAGTACGTAACGGACCCTGCATTTCAAAACGAATCAGTAGTTAGGCTGAGAGAACAAAATGCACTATAGCATATTGATTCAAAACCTGTCAACTCTAATTTGTATGTGTGTGCGACAATTAATAGACCATGTGCAGTTCTTTTCAGGTAAAAGTTTTGAATATTATGGGAGAGACAAGACGTACGTTTGTACGGCGTACAGACAATAAAAGAAGTGGCGAGACGGTCACAATACATTTTAGGAAAAATTTGCTGCCAGGTGTGACCTCGTCAGTTCTGTCGAGTATGTTTGCTGTGTAAGGTTTGTCATCTCTGGCCTTGTATATCTACGTGTTATTGATCAGAAGTTTTTCTTCATTTTTTGTATTACAAAACATTTGGCTAAAAGGTATCATTTCTGATCAGTTTTTGTTGTACACATAGTCAAATTTGTTTCATACTCTAATTATTAAGTCTTAATAATTGTCTGCTAGTGTTTATCGTTATTTAGATTTATTTGTATTATGCCATGAAATTGTGAAAATAATTGGTAGATTTGGACGCATTCTTTATTTGATGCAACAGAAGATAATGATATTGCTTATTTTTTCTTTCTGAGATATAAAGTTGGAATTCAGAAGTTAATGCCGTATACCAGTCATTTGCGACTTTTTTTCCACGCTGAATCTTTTTGAATTATTTTTAAGCAGTGCTCAGTAGGTTGTGAAGTGCTTTTCATAGTCTACAGGAATGAATAAAGTATGTCTGAAAATATACATTAGTAGTATATCAATTCAAGAAAATAATTTTCTGTATTTTATGCTTGTAAGGATTAGTTTGTACCGCTACACGTTATTGTTGTGTTCTGCACTTGCTTTTGTTTTGCTTATTTTTGTATTTAGTTGACTAATTTGAAATTCATACGGCTTAGAAAACGATGAAGAGTAATGCTTGTCTGTTTCAAGCAATAATTTAATTTGGCAATGAATTTTTGGTTTATATTTATCAAATGATAGTTCTCGCATATTTTCAGATAATCATCTGTTTTCTAACTTCTGTTAATTTTAGGAT